CCACCACCACCACCACCACCACCACCACCACCGCCGCCGCCGCCGCCGCCGCCACCACGACGACGACGACGACGACGACGACGACGACGACGACGACGACGACGACGACGACCACGACCACGACGACGACGACGACCACGACCACGACCACGACCACGACCACGACCACGACCACGACAACGACAGCAGCAGCAGCAGCTGCTGAGCAGTAGCAGCAGCAGCAACAACTAAAGCCTGATTAGGAAAGAGGTGTAGGGTTAGGGCAACCCTACATCATCAAAGCTTAAATCCCCCACCCTACTACGGTGGCCTAAACATTGACCTACATTGTTGTGAGGTCTATTTGACATACTCTATACCTTACTTCTACAAGCAACCTAGGACCATAATGCAGGTCGTTCGCAGGGCGCCCTAAACCTACCTAAATCCTAAACCCTAACGCGCTCCGGTAGAGGTTCTTCGGGAGCGTTATGTTGAGAGAGGGTGCTTTTGGGTAGAGGTTGCAGGAGATTGTGCATGCCCAGGTCTCTCTGTTTTAACCACTTGCGATCATGACTGCGCGGAATTTTGTCAAACAAATCCGCGCGCCACGTCGATAGTAGATAAGATTGTCGCAGGTTTTGGAAGTTACAACGTGCAAACACCCATGGCTTGTGCATGGTGCATCTCATTGTTGTTCTGTTGCACAGGAATTTGGCGCGACGGTGCGTAGCCAATTTGGGACCTTACGCAAAACTACCGTGTTATACTGGTCAAAGAGGGCCTAGCAGACTGAGCAGATTGGTGATAGTCAGCTTTTTGTCTATGTTCGCACGAGCAGAAGCTGCATATTACACAACTCTTGTCCCACTACGCGCGGTGTTTGTGCATCAGGGTTCACGGAAAGGACATAGACTGCGTCCCACTGGGCGCGGTTTTGATGGTACGTGGATGCACTTGTAATACGAGCGTTATTATGGCTTGGGCAGGGATGGTCTGATAGTGGATGCTCTCGAACATGAACATTCCTATAGTTTGGACCCGGATGTCCTCGCAATGGCCTGATCTCGAACATGAACGTCACTATGGTTTGGGCATGGATGCTTTGGTAACCGGACGGTCTCGAACATGAATGCGGCATTTTTGCACGAGGGCTCCCAAAATACTGCGTTTTGCAGGTTAAGATGGTTGCAGCTGAAACGAACGTAATTCCCCTCCCAAACTTCCAAGCCCCAAGGCGTTGGGCGAACCCTAAACCCTTAAACCCTAAACCCTAAAATCTCAAACCTTTAAATCCTGAGGTCTCAGCCGCAGCATTGAAGGGCTGCCCTGAGCGTCACTTCCGCAGAGCTTGGAGGATGAACCTTGGGGCTTTTTATTTCTATCTTGTTTGTTTTTTCGGTTCAAGGTTGTGGGTTTAGGGCTGAGGGCTTGGGGTTTAGGGTTCTGAATTTCGCTCTTAGGGTCCAAGGTTTTGGCTTTAGGGTTTAGGGTTTGGGGTTTAGGGTGTTACAGTGATTTAGGTCTTGGGGTGGGGGTATACCTAGACAAACCTGAACCCGTTAATTCGCAGGGTATAAAAAATAACCGGGTTATGTATTTGAGAACCAGGTTTCCTTAAAAAAACAGGTTTTCGGGATTTGGAAGATTTCTGGGCTTGGTTTTACTCAGTGTGATTTCAACATGTATGAGGTTGTGAAATTCAGCTGCAGGTGTCATTTGGGGCCCAACATGCATGAGAAATACATGATAAGCAGAATTGTGGATCATTATGGCATCAAATCAAGCTCCGAATGCTAAGGGTTTTAGGGTTTAAGTTTATACATGTATATATATATATATAGAATTTATGTAGGGTTTAAGGTTTATATGGGGAATATATAGGGTTTAAGCGACAATACCGACGGAAGCCCACAACCTTGTATCCCTGTGCACTTCATGCTCCCCGTTTCTATCGTGGTAAGATATAATCCTATATAACACACACTTTGGGGGGGCCCGAGACCCCAACGAACATCCCAGAAACCTGAAAGCTAAACCCTCTATAAACCCTAAACCCATCCGATGTGGTTTCTCATCCTGGCGGACGATCCATGCCATGCCACGGGCTCAGCCGAGCAACGCTGTAGAAGGGCCAGGTGGATGTCAGGAAGTAGGTTTAAGACTTCGGGCTGTTGACAACATCAAACATGCTTATCGCTATATACAAGAACAACACCGACCACCTAATCATCCTTGGCCTCTATGAGATACCCTGCCTTAACATACTGGCCATGGGCCAACTGCAAGTGACGCTGGATGCACCGCTCGGAGCACTTAGTTGGATGGACTCTACGGGACAGTCTACTCAACTGCCCTATAAAGTCCTCAGAGAGCTGTACACTGTAGCACAGTGGATTTACCAGGTACTGTGCAGATTCCGACGCGAGTAGAAGGTCCTGTAAGAACAGATGGTGTAAGCAATGGAGCTTTGGAAGTAGGGAGAACATAGTCTGTCCCTGTTCCACCGCTTTTCGAGCCAGCAAAGCATATCGACGGAGGAATTTCAAGCCGTGCTCACCTAGCTGTCTTGCTGTTGATGCTTCCAAAAAGGCGTCGCCCACATACAAGCCTGTGAGACAGGTATTGATAGCAATCACCGCTTCGTTGCACAGATGAAGCATTTCATCACCCTTGAACCTGTCGGGTCCAGATGGCCCAAGCTGGTCCTGGATGAATTTGCCTAAAGTAGTCGTGAGCGCACCTTTGAACCAACCACCAAAAGGAAAGGAGGAATTCGATTCCCAGTTGATGCTGCTCTGCGTGAGCTTCGTCAAAATCGGAGGGTGGCGGGTTCTGCTGCACCAAGCCAGGTAGTCTCTTGACAGCAAATCCATTCGAGCTTCCTTGCTGCGACCATCGTACTTTGAGCTCATCAGGGCCAATGCGCAGGCAATAAAACTCTTGCCTACGCCAAGGTGCCAGCTGTGCCACACGTCAAACTTGAAGATTGTGGCCACACGGCCAGGGGGATGAGGGAGTGTGGTCAAAGGACTTGGCTCCAAAAAAGGGTTGTCGCTGCAAAAGGTTCCAAGCCACGTCGGCTGCCTGGTCTGTATCTGCTCAAAGCTGTGCTGATGCTGCCCTGCATTGCAGAGATGGCAGATCCCGAGGGGATTTCGAGCCTGCGTCGTGTGCTTTTCGACATTGTTATAGCTGCGAAACATCTTGCCAGATTTAAAAAGAAACTGCCAGTCGCCGGTCACTCCCAAAAACATCGCCCAGTGTTTCTGCTTGCTGTGCGGGTTCACGACGCCATGCGTATGCATGAAGGATGTTTGCTCAACACAGCGCTCCAAAATTGCATCGAAGATCTCGGGATCCTCGAAGGCCTTTTTTGCCATTGCCGTGTGCAAGAAACGGTGGGTATACGAGTGGCCTGCAAAGTTTGCCTTGAGCTTCAGGAAGGGTTTCTGCACAGCACGCTGGTTTCCGCTCCTCACGCCCCTGCCCAAAACCGAGTGCCATGAGGTAACCAAAAAAGGCTGTCGCCTGCCGCGACCCTCGTCCCCATGCCACAATAGTGGCATGGTTCTCGCCAAAACGATAGATCCTTCGCGCGCGGCCAAAAAAACCGGGTGCGCCGGGCAGACCATCTCATAGCGACGCCAGAATTCAGACAAAATCTGAGCCTCTCTCTCCGGGTTTGGCGCCATCAGGCCACAGCTGATATGCCAACAGTTCTTGGCAAGAAGGAAGGACACCCAATCTTTCAAGCACAGCACTGAATGCGCAAGTTTTCCACGGCCAAGTTTCCTGATGGGAACTGGTAGCGAAAGCTTGTATCGTTTCACCAAGACACGATGGGTATCACGTTCAGCGGTTGCCTCATTACATTTGGATAGCCTTGTCAATCCTGAACTTGAGGCTGCCTCTTCCCCAAAATCACGCACAACGTTCTTGGCCACCCGCACCACAGAAGCACAGCTGGCCTCGGCCCACAAATTTTTTTTCAGGAAACTTTGGGGTCAACATGATCTGTGCAAGTGTCACCAGCGCAGGGGCCATGCTGAATAGAACATGTAAAGAAATGCAGCATTCATTTTGCTCTTGCACGCGTGCCCGGGACAGAACTATATAACATGTGCAGCAAGTGCGTGTCACGCACTGCAGGCAACAGCTAGCTGTAGCCAGAAATTACATTCGTCGGCGGTCTCTTAAAGGATCGCCAAACCATGTATGTCATGTACAATGGATCATCCGAGGCCGGTCCTTCCCGCACATTGTCACCACCTTTCTGGATGTTGCGACACCCTGGCCTGCCTTGGTGCTAAGGGGGATTGCGGGTAATATTTCCTGCGGAACAGGTTTCCGAACAAATACACGATTCAGACAAAATCATGTTAAGACTGACAAGATACTAGAGTATCTCTCGATGAGGGCTGCTTCCAACATCGCAGGAGAGTATGGCTCGTTGGATACGTAGAGAACTAGCATCCCTTGCCATTTATCCCTACACATCCTATACCCGTAAAGATTGTTTTCCCACCTCCAGACCGGGTTGTGGGTCCACCCCACCTTAAAGATGAGTGGCTCCTGTTTAAGGAACAAGGACTCCATGGTCCTCAGCACATGATGTAGGACGCTGCCTGCTGCCAGGCTCTTTTTGGGATGGCAGAAAACAATGGTGCCCGTAGCTCGACACTCAGATATGAGCTCGCGTAATTCACTTGAAAGTTCAGGGGTCCAAGTGATGGGTTGATCGCCAACACCTTTGTCGCATATTGAAGTAGAAGACCTCTTCATACTCAAAGCAGGAATGGATGCTGTAGACCGTGACCATGGGAAAGGACCCTCCGCTTCCTCAAGTTGTACTACCCAGTCGATTGAACATGGAAAAATCATATATTAAATATTTTCGCCTAAACCCAAAACCCTAAACTGTACGTAAACCACATATATATAAAAACACTAAACCCTGTATATATAAACCCTATAAACCACCCTGTATATTTGGACGGATATAGGGCTAGTTGGGTTTATGTAAAAAGGTACTCTATATACATGGATACAGGGCTGAACTACATTACATATATATATATAGAGGTCCATATCTCATATAAACCAAAAGGTTTGTAATCTGTAAAGGTTCAATGTGAAAAGAGTGTGGGGTTTGTTAACTTCTGTATGTGTGACAGGGTGTTGAAATCCAGGATGATGGGCACGGGCTCGGGCTATAAAGGAATATATTCAGGATTCTGCAATGGCAGACGTGAAGACACAAACGGCGGTCACTCATCACACAGCTTTTTATACTTACATCCTGAAGTATAAACACGTAGACACTCTTTTTGGGGCCTTTACCTGGATTCAGAAAACAAGACCGCTCAGGAAAGGACAAACCGTAAGATGTTGCGCTTGGTACTTCAATTAGGATTGGGCGGGGGTTCAGCGGTTTGCTTTTGGTAACTGGCTTCTTGAGGATCGAACTGCAACATTTTCTGGGAGCTCTCTTTGCTACATTGGTCGGGGCATTGTATGTGCTGCGTACAAAGCTTTGATTGAAGCTGGGGATGAGTTACGTATAAGCACAATTAAAAGCAAAATATTGTTGCAGCAAATACACGGAGCGGTGGCAACTGAGCAGGTCCAAGAGCTCACATTCAGCATCGTCCATAGCATTGGAATGGGGCATTCATAAATGCGGACATGTGTAGTAAAAGAAGCAGGTCCCGCTGCTACCATTTGAGCCGCGCGAACCATTCCAATTTCATATCGTGAGTTCCATGTAACATGCGGGCGCATGTCACAAACCAAACAATCTTCACCTCTCGGGCTGAGGTTGGGGCTCCAGCTCCAATTTCATTGGACAACCCACGAATGGTGTGGCCTGGCTGGGCACCTGGCACGTGCACACAATTATTGGTCCGCAGTGAAAAAAACACATGCGCAAAGCCCACGTACTAGGATCAGTGTGACTTGCTGCATCATGCATGATTTTTTTTCTGCATCTGGCCCTGCGTGGACGCTTGTAGGTTGAGCTGCACGCAGGAAGATTTGCACAGCTGGGAAATGCACCCCGAATAAATTTTCAAGAGCTTTCTGAGACCCACAGGGTTTGGGAACAGACGCACGCTGAGGCTCAAGATGTGGGATGATCAACTTCTGCGGGTCTCAGGCCAGCAGGAATTTCTGCAGGTAGGCCCGCAGAGGTCACTGCAACCCCAAAATAAGTAAGCACTTACTTCTTCTTGCTCCCGTTCTTAGAAGGGGCCGGGGCTTTGCGCTTCTTCAGCTCGGGCTTGTTGACGTCCGTGGTCTTCGTCAGGAATCGTTTCTCATTCCTGCGCATGTCGTTCAGAAATCATTGGCGGCAAAACATTTAGGATACATACACACGAGCAGACATTGTGACCCCCAGCCCAATTACAAGTAGGTTTCTTCAGTATAAGGGTCATATGT